GGCTTACAAGAGAGCATGGGAGATATTTGGTTTGTAATCAAATATGGGGTGGACCTCTCCCTTTTGTTTTCTTTTGGAGTTTTTGAGTATATGAGTCAAGAGTCCGCCCCATGTAGACATCTCACCTATTTTCCTTTGTCTTGCAGCTACCCAAGTCATGTGGAGTGGTTTACACTTGATCCCAATCAATTTGGGGCCCAAAATATCTACCAATACTTCCAAAAATGGAAAGATGGGTCCTATTGTTTTTCTTTTGTCAAAAGATGTCTTTTTGTACTCATTCTAATTTATTTAGAACAAGTTAACATTATACATCTTATTATTGATCTCCAATATGTGTAGGATCATACCAATAATTTACGTGATGAAAATAATAGAAGAAAACCCTACTCCCACCATTTAGCTCAATAATGTCAAAGATGGGACCATAGGTGTTTGTATTCTTCCCTAATCATCCTATCATTTATTTTGACATTATCATTCATATGATTGGACTACTATCTGTGTGGGTTACCCTCAAGTGGGCTTAGGACTCCACTCTTGAATACTTGCTATTTTTAGCAGGTTGGGCCCAAAATAATGTTTGGGATGTCCAACCCTCCGTAACTTGTCTTGAAAGGGTTATGTAACATTATTTACAAAATATTGGGCTCTTTTATCTAATAAGATGGCCCAATTAAATATTGAAAGCTCATCGCTAATATACGAGCTCAAACAGTAAAATGATCAAACATGCATTACATAAATCATTAATCGTTTTACACTCGTTTGACAATAGGAAGTTCAATACATAAACTTTGATTTTTAAATTCAATTCCAAGGAAGTTTGGGTGCGGTGTCACATTTATAGCAGCCATAAATGCTAGGCAAGTACACGTCTCAAACATCTGACGGCCGAGGGTCACCTCAAAGGGGAGTTGGCACCGGCATTTGCATGTACACCACATTAAATGCGGTGGTTGGACGTGACGCCGCATTGAATGCGGTGGTTACCCGTTTCGAAAAGGAATCTTCGCTGAGTGTTCTGTAGCCGAAGGCCTGTCCTGTGGCTGAAGGCTCTGTGTGGCCGAAGGCTGCCCATGTGCCGAGGGCTCCTACCAATTTATTTGATAAATTAGCTGGGATACATATGTGTGTACTTGATTCAAATAGATTTCAAATTAAAAAAAATAACGAAAAAGTTAACACCATTAGAATTCAGTTTATTTTTGTGAAACAATAAACTAGCTGGGATTATTGTTGTGAAGTTTTTCAATAAGGATTATTTTGTATGTGTAAAAGTAGTTATTGGTGGTGTCAGTTTACCATGTGTAATGAATAGTTCTCTCTACTACTAAGGATAGACCCAAAATCAAACCGTTTAATATTTACCGTACCAAATCAAAAAGTAGGCTAAATCCGCTCCAATTCCAGTTTCTTGGAAGTTAGACCAAATCAACTGGTTGAGGTACACCATTTTATGGGGGGAAATATAGGTCTAAAATTGAATAGGAACCAAATCTGATAGGTGCTAACATACGAGAGATGCAAGAAAAGAGAAACAATTGTTGACTGAGTTTTCAATTAATTAATACTTACTACTTATTTGTTTAATTACGTCAGCTACAGAAATATATGGACAATGGTGTCATGCATCACTCCACTAGGGCATTTATTAGATTATGAATGGTGTCAGTTATTGTGTCAGTTATATTGAGTAAGTTATGGTTCAGTTGTATTTCATTTTCTATAAATAGCCTAGTCTTATTCAAGTTGGGTGTGCAAAATCAATATTATTTTCAGACTTAGAGATTCTTCTTTGGCTTCTATTATTGCTCATTTGTGAGATACTTACTGTGAGAGATCGAGAAGGTAGGAGAGTTTAGCCATTCAATTATTTCCCTTTTATTTCTAAACTTAACATTTGGAATCAGAGCCACACGTTCTGATCGATCAATCATGGTGATTAATGACTACACGTTATTCCGTCGGCGACAACCGTGGAGACACCGACTCATTGGCGGCCATTGCGACTAAGCTGGACTTGCTAGATGAATTGCGAGAGAAAATTTCGGCACTACAGGTTTAGTCGCAGGAACACAAAGGAAAGAAATAGAGCAACTAGGCTGACAATGTAGATGAAGAGTAATAATTCCCTGGACCTTGACCTCTTGTTGCAAAGATTGGTTTTCCCAAATTCCGCGACGACGACCCAAGTGGTTGGGGGCTTAAGGCTGAAAAGTTCTTCAGATACTATGCGATTTCTGACGTTGACCAAGTGCAAGTGGCTGCATGCATCTAGAAGGTGACGCTTTAGACTTGTTCTCCTAGGTAAATAGTAGATGCATGTTGCTCGACTGGGATGCATCAGTGCTTGCGCACATTCAATGAACATTTTGGGCCGCCGGAGTACTTGAATCCTGATGAACATCCACAACATTCATCAAACCGATACTGTATAGGAATATCGACAAGATTGGCCGCATCGAGTAGCACAGGTCACCAACTAGCTGGAGCATTGCCTCCTTAGGGTTTTCTTAAATGGGCTCTGAGAAGACATCCAATCATATGTGAGGATACACAAGCTAAGGTCCGTGTACAGTGGCGCCAGTTTAGCCCTAGAGTTTGAGGAAAGATTGGCCCAAGGGAAGGGAACAAGGCCCAATTCACATTCCTCTCATATGGGCATGTTCCCATTCTTACTCACAGTAGCTATGTATCTGCACGTGATAAGGAGGTGATACCAAGAAACTCGAGTCTGGCCTCCTATTCAACACCTTTCAAAGTAGCTTTGTCACTCACATCCCCAACACATACATAGGATGTGACAAAACAACAATGTCACGACAAAGGATTGCGTTTTCGTTGTGGGGACCCATTCCGACTAGGACATCGATGTTCTACTACGTTCTCGCTATTGGAAGTTGTAGAAGATCAACAAGAATTCAATGCCAAGCTCTTTGAAATTAACCATCACGTTGTTCGTTGCAACTGTGTATGCAATGATATTTATGTACAACTTCTAGGTTTGACCATCACCCAAGATTTTTATCCATTTTCCCTTGTGGATTCTCATATGGTACTGGGAATTAAAAGGCTTGCATCACTCAATACCATTCAATCTAATTGAATGAGATGTTCCTCATCTTCTGGGTGAATGCGGAGAAATATAAATTATAGGGAATACCAAAGAGAGAGTATCAGCGTGATAGTTTTAATCTTATGACCACAGTGGAGTCTGCATCTAGTGCATCTACTGGGATTTTGAAGTTATATTGGAAGAAATAGTAGCTAGCTTTTGCCTCCTTTAAGTGATCATTTCCATGCCACCCCTCTGATCCTTAGATCTCAACCTCCCAACCTGAGTCCGTACAGGCACCCATATTTCTAAAGGAATGAAATTGAGTAACAGGTAGATGGACCTACTCGACAAAGGGTTCACTCTTCCTAGCTCACGTCCATTTGCAAGTCTAGTTCTATTGGTTAAGAAACAAAATAATTCATTGCGTATGTGTGTGGACTATCGGGCCTTCAACAAAATCACAGTACCCGAAACTGCTTCGGGCGGTCATCGAGGATTACTTAAAACTTTGAAATGGCTTTCTGGTATTGTTTTTGGCAACACATGAAATCCGGCGTTAAATCTTTCATTCAACAATGCTTTGTCTGTAAAAAAACAAATATGAAGCATTATCACCTGCTGGTTTGTCACAATCCATACCTGCACCATATCAGCACGCTCGTCCCACAGAAGAGGCAACTTAGTGCAGCGATTTTCATAATTTTGCCTTGAGGACAAGTCGGCTTTCAAGGGAGGTGGTAATGATAGGGTGCTGACATAGCAGAGATGCAAGAAAAAAGGAATAATCGTTGCCTAAGTCTTCAATCATTTAATATTTATTACTTATTTGTTTCATTACGTCAGTTACAGAAATAAGTGAGTGATGGTGTCATGCATCAGTCCACTAGGGCAGTTATTAGATCATGGATGGAGTCGGTGAATATGTCACTTATATTGAGTCAATTATTATGGGTGAGTTGTATTTCCTTTTCTCTAAATAGCCTAGCCTTATTCAAGTTGGGTATGCAGAATCAATATGAATTTCAGACTCGGAGATTCTCTATAGGCTTCTACTATCGCTCATTTGTCAGATACTGTGAGAGAGAAAGTAGAAGAGTTTAGTCATTCAATTCTTTTCCTTTTATTTCTGAACTTACCAAAACCAGATATGGAACACGATAATTCTAGCCTACTCAAGAGGAGGGCCAGCTAGAACAAAACAAAATATACCAATTCCGGTTAACGTTGTCTGGTATGGTCCTACTTTAAGAGGACCCCGAATCAACTGATGCAAAACTACACTCGTCCTTCGCCCTCCCTGTGTGGGGTGAATAGGACAAGTGATGAGAGTACACGCATAGTACTTCTTAAAGATGGAAAAGTACGACTAATTAATTGTCATTGTTTTCTTTTTGACAAACACCTAGATATTTATAATTTGACTTGAATTTTCTAGTCTGATCTGATCTAGTCTAGTCTAAAGTCTAAACTGGTCTAATAAATGTCCGATCTCGCTATTTTTAAAAATGTTCAAACTAAAAACCATCCAAGTGACAACATCCTTACTCTCTTTATCCTAGCTTAAACTTCTCACTTGACTCTTTTGGACATCCCAACTAAAACTTCTCATTTCTATTTTCAATTATAATTAGCATTCTTAAATGACAAATTAATCATCAAATGTTAAAACAATACACCTATAACATTACACTTATCATCAATGACCTTGTCATATTATATACTCATACAAACATCTCAAAATATACTTTAATTACTTTATTCAATTATTGTCTAAATAACTATGTCATTTTTGAAGAAGATGTTTAAACCGGGACATAGGTTGTATTATCATATATATTATCCAGTGGTTATTTTGTCTTTTCAGTTAAAAAAATCAAAATATTTTCCGAACCTCTTTTGTAGTTTTATACGGAGTATTTTTCTGAAAATAATAAATTAGAGTGAGGAGCTAACGGTGCTTAAATGGTAAACCCACATAAAAATCTCCAACATAATTAATAGTATGTTGAAAAAGAAAACAGGTTATCCTCATCGCCAACTTTAAAAATAAATTAAAACACTTGCAAGCGAAAGTTCCGAGTAATTTGAACATCATTCGATCACTATTTATGACAGACCGCTTCTGCTATAAAATCATTATCTGGGCTCTAAGATTCTCGTTTAAAAAAGAATGATGCTACTTGACCAAGGATATTTGAGATGATGTTAGTTGCTCGTCTCAGACTGAAGCTGTAGCTGGTGCAAAAGTATAGGTACTTGATGGAGGAGGGTTAGTGGCAGGGGCAGCACTTATTGTGGGGTCAGCCATAGCCGGGTAAGTTGCTTGGGGAGGAGCTGGAGCACTGCTTGAACTAGTAGTCAAAGCTACTCCACCAGGAACTGGTGGGGCAGAACTTGAATTTGGCACACCACTGCTAGGCGGTTGCATGTGCAATGGTGGTGCACCCGGGGGATGTCCAGGAACCGGTGCGAGCATCGGAGGAACTGCATAAGCTGAGATGAGCACAAAAGCAATTATTACAAGGCCTGATTCATTTAAACAAGTAGCAAAAAGGAAGTATAATGCTAGGGACGCAATAAAATTATACCATTATAAGTTAACTGAATGATGAAAGTTAGACATATGTAACCATTCATTACTCAATAAATATATATATACTTCGCATAACACATTATTTTAAAGAGCTTAAACGACTCTCCATTCTGCTGGCATTTTTCTTTAGCCTCACTAATCACTAGGTGTAACCTCAAGGCGGGCCGAGACATAAGCCGCACCTAGTCAATAGGAATTATAATATTATATATATGGAGAATGTTCTCCTAAGGTAGGCCTAAAACATAAAAGTTTTAGGTCTCTTTCATTTGAAGTGTTTCTGCGTCGAATATTTTTATGAAATTTTGTGAACATGTTGTCCATGAAATGTAAATTATCTCCACCAAGTTTCAGATTAAAATTCAAACGATAAGTCAGTTAAATAAATTATTGAAAAAAACTGCATATAAAATTGCACAACTTTTATTAATTTATTTATCTGACTTCTCGAATGAATTTTAAACTGAAATTTGGTACGCATAGTCTACCCTTTATTGAGAACATGCTGACAAAATTTCATCAAAAAATTCGACCAGGAAGCACCTCAAATAAAAGAGGCCTATATATATAGAGAGAGAAAGAGATGTTCCAAGTATTATACAGAGTATGACTATTTAGTGCATACTAAATAACTGCGAGAATAAAGTCCTATGATTCATGAAAATAACTGAACGTCTAAAACCTTAATGTTAATTCACTGGTTCGAGTTTTGGATGCGACCTCCGGCCAAAGGAGAGGAAAGGTTGCCCCCCTATACACCCTTACCAAGTCAAAAGTTACTTGGTGGTAGTAGTAGTAGACTAGTAGTAATAGTAATAGTAGTAGTACTAATATCCTTTACCAATCTCCGTTCACACTTCAAATCAGAGAGATACACTCTTTCTTTTTTCCTTTTCTTTTAAAAAAAACCTAGTTGCACAATAGATATAAACTTTATCCAGGGGCGACAACCATCCTCCTTGTCACCTAGGATTGTGGCTTCAAATTGAAATACTTACAGGCCCCATGGACATCAAAATAGGATCAACGACAGGTCAAAGGATAAATGTACCCCCCTACACCGGGTGTCATAAAAAACTACCTCAAACTGATACTCCCTCCGTCCCAAAAAATACTTCCAGGTTTGACTTGGCAAGCTTGTTAAGAAAGTGCGAATAAAGTGGAAATGTATGGTTGTGGTTGAGTAAGAAAAAGATAAATATGAATGTAAGTCACACAAAATTTTCTAAAAAGAGAAGAATCTTTGGGACATCCCAAAATGGTAAGTGGGAAGAATTTTGTAGGAAGGAGGGAGTAGTAGTTTAAAAGAATAAGAAAACTATGCAGAGGAATATGAGGTCAACTGAGAGCAAATTTTCTAGGCTACTAGAGAGGATAGGCAAAAATAGTAAACTCATTCTGAACGTACCTGGAGCACCAGGAAGAGGTCTAGGCAGTATGGGAGATATCACTCCAGGGACTAAGTGAGAAGATTGAGCTCCAGGAATAGGAAGCAGATGAGGTGGCATGATAGGCATGCGTGGAGCTTGGCCAGGGAAAACTGCAAGGTGTTGATTATACGCAGCACCAATTTGCTGGTATGTTGCTGCCTGTCCAAGACGCTCTTTGATCCTTTGGTCTATAAAAGCCTGTGTTATCTGTTCGTCAAACTTTTGATAATAAATCCTTACATTTGCCTGAACATTCAACATCATCACAAGCAAAATACATAGGAGTAAAGCTCATCTTGTTTCGTTAATGTGGAGTAATGGAGTAAATCAAAATATGAATGTATGTACCTTGTGTTTGTATCCAGCATTGTGTTGTTTTCTTACTGAAGGCTGAGAAAGCACATCAGAAACCCCAATTAGTATTAAAACAAGTTTTAAGGAAAAAAAGATAAAAAGCATAATTCAAACAAATTTGAGCATATGGGAAAGGCTAATTCTATGGCACCTTTATGGTACCATACTTTGTCCATATGTACCAACTAAAATGTTAGAACTAGATAGTTGAAAAATAAATAAATGATGAAATAATGACATGGACCAATCATATGGATTGTAGGTATGATACCCTCACATATTGGTGAGGTACTGGAGCATTCACCGGAAGGAAAAATACTTCAAGGTTTCATTATTTCATCTACACCATGCAAAGTATACTACGGCCTAGTGACAGAGACTCATGGACAAATAAGAGACTCAGGGAAAAACTGTCAAGAACAGTGAAAACAGCTCAATACTAGAATAATATGGTTTTATGTTCATCTCACGTTTCCAGTATATGAACAAGTAAATATCACTCTCCGGGGGGTTGAATTCAGCAAAGTCAAAAGGTTGCTCATATGAAGAGATGAAAGTATGAAACCAAATCTGTTATCCCGGACAAGTGGTGAGACTGGTTTGAAGTCAGGACTAAAAGTCTATAAGGAGTGAGGTCACTTGTTTGAATCCCACAACGTAAAATGAGATACGCATTTTTTAGGCTGTAACCTCCATGGTTTGTTAAGCAATCAGGGCACTAAATGGAATTTATTTGAAACACTTCCTCTTAAGGAAAGCTAAGAATTGGCTTATATTACAGTCTCTGCCAACAAGAGAGCAGTGTACCAAGGCAACACCAGAGAGTTTACCAGTTTGAAAGGAATTGCTGTAAGGTGTTAGAGACAGTTTCTTAATTTATTTTAGGAAACACATCCTAGTTGCTTTGGGGTTAGGATTTACTTCTCTATAAATACAAGCTCTCTCCCTTGTAATCATTGTGTGTGGATCCGAAAATAGCAATAATATTCCTAACTTGGTAGCGCCCCCAGACGTAGTCATTCGTGGCGAACTGGGTTACCAAATTTCGTGTGTTCTTCGTTATTGTTTTTCGTGTGCGTAAATTAAATTCCTAACAATTGGTACCAGAGCCCTGGGTTCGAAGGGAGATCTCACGAGGGCAGACATACGAAGACACCGGTGATGCAGTTTGACGGAACGGATTACGGATTCTGGAAGTTGCAGATCGAAGATTACATGTACGGTAGAGATCTGTATCAACCTCTGGATGATAAGCCGGAAGACATGAAGGAGAGCGATTGGAAGTTGCTGGACAGAAAAGCGATGAGCGTGGTGCGATTATTGCTGTCCAGAAACATCGTCCTACACACCGTCAAAGCAAAAACGACGAAGGAGATGTTGCAGATTTTGTCGGATATGTGCGAGAAACCTTCCACTGTGAACAAAGTTCATCTGATGAGGCGTCTTTTTAACCTGAAGATGTCAGAAGGTACGGGAGTGGTGGATCATCTCAACGAGTTCAATGTAATCACCACACAGTTGAGCGCGGTTGAGATAAAATTTGACGACGAAATTCATGCCCTAATTCTGCTGTCTTCTCTCCCGGAAAGCTGGAACGGAACGGTGAGTGCAGTCAGCGCTTCTGCGGGGAAGGAGAAACTGAAGTTCGATGAAGTCAGGAATCTGGTGGTCAGTAAAGAAATTCGGAGGAAGGAATCAGGCTTGGCTTCTGGATCGGCGTTGAGTACAGAGAACCGGGGCAGAACAAAGTCGAAGTCCAAGTCAAATCGGGATAGATCAAGATCCAAATCCAAGTCAAACAGCAAGGGCAAGAAGGACAGAAGACAGATCAAGTGCTGGAATTGTGAGAAGTACGGGCACTTTAAGAGCCAGTGCAAGGAGCAGATCAAGGATCAGAAGGAGAAGACATCTGCCAATGCAGCAGCAGAATCATCGGGTGATGATCTCCTGATCCTGAGCGTGAGCAGTCTGTTGGAGTCATGGGTTCTAGATTCTGGAGTCTCGTTCCATTCATGTGGTAATTCTGAAGTGATGGAACAGTATACTCCTGGCAATTTTGGAGAGGTGTATCTTGCTGATGATGAGCATCTTAAAATTGTCGGGAAGGGGACAGTCCACGTGAAGACTGCGAACGGATGCATGTTGAATGGCGTCTGACACATTCCTGATTTGAGGAGGAATCTTCTTTCAATTGGGCAGCTGAATGAGGAAGGTTATGCAGTTACATTCGGCAGCAGAAATTGGAAGATCACCAAGGGAGCCTTGGTGGTTGCTAAAGGGAAGAAGGAGAGTATGTTGTACATGACAACGAACTCGAAGGACTGCATCGATGTTGTTGCCGCTGCAACAAACGATGTAAATTTGTGGCACTGTCGGCTCGGTCACATGAGCGAAAAGGGGATGAAGGAGCTGTGCTCGAAGGGCAAACTGCCCGGCCTGAAGACTGTTGAGGTTGGCTTATGCGAGGACTACATATTCAGGAAGCAGAAACGTGTCAGTTTCACAAAGGAAAGACGAGCTATCAAACCGGAGAAGCTGGAACTAGTTCATACCGACCTTTGGGGATCTGCTGAAGTTACATCATTGGGAGGATATGCTTACTACATGACCTTTATTGATGATGCCACAAGAAAGGTATGGGTTTATTTTCTCAAAAATAAATCTGATGCCTTTGATGCTTTCAAGAGGTGGAAAGCTCGTGTTGAGACAAAGACAGGTCTGAAGTTGAAGTGCTTTCGGTCAGACAATGGAGGTGAGTATGAACTGCATGAGTTCAAGAATTTTTGTGCTGAGAATGGGGTTCGTATGGAGAAGACAACAAAGGGGACTCCGCAGCATAATGGCGTTGCTGAACGCATGAATAGAACACTGAATGAGCGGGCAAGATGCATGAGGTTGAAGAGTGGCTTACCGAAGATGTTTTGGCCGGATGCAGTAAACACTGCGGCTTTTCTCATCAACAGAAGTCCAACGATCTCGTTGGAGAATGGCATTCCTGAAGAAAGGTGGACGGGTAAGGAGGTCAATTTGTCCTATCTCCGCATATTTGGTTGTGTTCATAGTTGTCACGGCGGTAAGTCGAGTCGCGGCGCCAGCTAACCGCCATATCGCCTAGGCGACAAGGCGACTGCCTAGGCGACAATTAGGCGACTAGTCGCCTAATTGTGTATATTATATATATAATTATATATTATATATATAATATAATTATATATTTATTTATATATTATATATAATATATTACTAACTAAAATGTATATAACTTAAAATTGAAATCCACAATTAATAATTAAAAACAAGGTTTATTAATGGGAATTAAGATTAAAAATGTATATCTCAAATAAGCAGCGTAAAGATCAAACTACTAAGTTCTCAAAAATCATCAAGGACTAAATCATCTCTACGGCCTTCATTGCCCTGATCATCATCATCATGAGTAGAAGTGGGTGGTGTTTGACCATAGTCATCTTCAACATCTTCATCATCATTTGGAAAACTTTCTTCTTCATCGTTCATGTCTTCATCAATCAACCTTAATGAAGAATTTGAAGAGTTTGAACCACGGCGTCGATAATAAACTGATTCTCCACGAGAGCTACTAGTTCTAGGAAGATTACGACCTTGAAGATTGCTTGATGCACCCAAAGCTTCATCAACTTGACTCCATAGAAGATCATCACCCGGATGAACAACTTCATTACTCACCCACTCATTGTTCCATTGGAAATCTTCAAATATTAAAGGGTTGAAGTTTTTTCCTTCTTCACGCCGCTTCTGAAATCTGGTTGCAATCTTCCGATTATACTGAATAAAAACCAAGTCATTCAACCTCTTATGCTCCAACCTGTTTCTTCTTTTGGTATGAATCTAAGATAAAGATAAAAATATATATTTAATAAGTGTTTTGATTTAATTAGTTAAAATCTTGTGTAATTTAAAAATTGTAGGTAGTATTCAAAATTGTAAGTCTATTACTTACAAACTCAAAAGTGCTCCAATTACGCTCACAGCCAGAAGAGGTACAACAGAGACCAACTATGCGTTTTGCGAACGATTGCAGCTCAACAGCGAGTCCACCAAAAGCATCCCACCAATCAACTATTAATTAATCACAAATAAAATATTAATTAATTTTTAATATATTTAAACTAATTTTTAAATATAATAAAAAAGTATCACTTACGAGGACTCTTAGATTTTTGTTGCTTAATCGCGAGCTGCTTTGCAAAACTTCCTCTCAATTTGTCATAATCTGTCGCTTGATCACTTATCTTGGCCTGCAATGTTTCATCGGTGACCATCTTTTCAAGCACATCGTTAAACATTGATCGTTGCCTTGATGCTGATGCAAGATCCGTTTGTTTGAGATCAAAATATTTAGATGGATTTAAAAACAAAGCTGCCCCGTATAATTTGACCTCCATCTGGACTTCCCATCGTGTCTCAATGATCCCAATTACGTTTCTCAAAACCCTACCCTTATTTTCAAATGACTCGCTGATTTTTTTCTTGGCACAATCCATGGCTAGTGAAAGCTCTGGCATAGCCGGTTGCTCATCGGCATCAACTATCCTCAAGACAACTAAAAGCGGCTGTGAAGCTCGTATGCAATCTTCCACTGCACTCCAGAATCTAGTGGAAAACACAATCTCTCTAACCTTCATCCCTGCTTCTGTGGCAGCCAATTTAGATCTAACCCAATCCAGACCGCTAAATTGATTTCTCAATGCTTCTCTGTGTTTATACAGAGATTGCAAAGTGAGAAACGCGGTTGCAAATCTAGTAACTCCAGGTCTTACAAGATCCTTCCCACCCGTCTTTTGTCTCACTGAATGGAGGAGTCTCGTGTGCCGATAAATGAAAGTAGTCACACGTCTTGCCTTTTCAATGTGGGGCTTGAAATCAGCTAATTTACCGATATCCTCCAACATCAAATCCAAACAATGTGCAGCGCATGGAGTCCAATACAACGTGGGTATTTTGTGCTCTAGAAGCTTTCCCGCAGCCTTATAGTTAGAGCCGTTGTCTGTCACCAC